CCGCCAGCCGTGGTGACGCCACCCAGGGCCATCACGCCGGGGAAGGGCCTTACGCCCATCCTGGCCAAGATGCCAGTCTCCCCCAAGAGTCCGAGCGCCGGGGTGCCCATCCCCAGGCGTCTAGGAATCGAGGGCCTGACCTGGCTCAATATGCCCCTGCTGGAAAACCCAGCCCCAGCCCAGGGCATCACCAGGCTCTCGACAGCCCAGAACATCTGGCGTCCCCCAATCCCGGAGCCGATCGTCCCGCTCCCTCCACGCCGGCTGCCGACGACCATGCCGCCACCCACCCAGCCACCTCGGCGAAGCATCCAGGCAGACCAGATGCCCCTGACGACCAACCTCAGGGAGATCCACTGGCTGCCGTCCGACCACCCAGACGCAGCAGTTCGCCGAAGGCTCTGGCTAAAGAGCGGAAGAAGGCTCTGGGTTTTTTATATTTTTATAGAGGACCAGTAACCCGGAGCCGAGCCAATCCATACATTTTTTAGTTTTCTTACAATTCTTTTTTAGTTTTTTTCGAAAAATTTTCTTTTTAAAAAGTTTTATTTGTTTTGAAAGTTTCCAGAAATCATTTCCAATTCTGTTTTCAGAAAACTGAAAACAAGATTTTAGTAAGGGGGGGATGTAACGATACACATTACGACATCTATGAGACGATTTCCTAACTACCCGACGTCAAGGAAAGAGTTGGACTACCAGAAACCTGCAGTTAGACGAAACTCTAACAGATGGCGCTTGGACAGCTGTCAACCGCATATGTTGTCAACAATTGTTGCACACGGCCCGTGTGAAGGATTTATTGCACGCGGCCCCAATTGTTTTTCATCAAGTCTGTCATCAGAATTTCGTCTATAAAACCGCTGCATTTTTCAATGGACAATCAGTCGTCTGGTGGCTCAGTTCCAAATGGTGTTATCAATTAGTCCAATTGCAAATCTGCCCTGTCTCTCTGTAGGACTGAAATTTACGCCCGTGCCTGCCAGTTGCCTGTGAAAAGCCCTGGAACATTTGCCTGTCCTGATTAAAGGCTATGCAAGAACCCTTGTGTGCAAAGTCTACGATACTTTTGTAAATACTGTAAATACTGTATATAATTCTAATATAATTTTGTACATACTTTTACCTTGGTAAATAAACCAGTTTAAGTTTACTTTTGCATTTTAAATTAAACCACCAACCCTAACTGATTCTTATAAACCCTACTTTCTCCACTGAATAAAAGCAACCCGAGGTAGGTATTCCTCTATATCTGGAGAGTCAACCGGAGAGGAACCTTGGTGAAGTACTTAAGGCCATAACCAGCCTAGGTACGACACACTTTTATCGAGATATTATATTTTCTGATGAAGCCACGTTCTCAACCAATGGTACTTTTTCATCTCAGCATGTGAGGTACTGGAGCAATCACAATCCCTATTTCCGAATCGCTCGTAATCGACAATATTCGGCTAAAGTTAATGTATGGTGTGCAATTTCTTATCATGGGTTGATCAAGGGTGATTCATTAAGAGGTACTTTTTTAAAAAATAAAAAAAACTAACAAAATTAAATTTTATCAGGTAAACTATATTATCACGAAAAAGAACCGTTCTTTACATTTATTTTTTAAAGATTATTTCTTTTAAATGTTGGCCGTAACTGCGGCTAAGATGGTCCATTCTGAAATTCCAATTTTTGATGACGCGTTGGAGCATTTCAAGTGGTATTTGGCCAATAACTCGAGTAATGTTGGCTTCCAATTCATCAATCGTAGCGGGCTTATCCATGTAGACTTTGGACTTTACGTAGCCCCAAAAAAAGAAGTCCAGAGGTGTGTATCACGAAAAAGAACCGTTTTTTACATTTATTTTTTAAAGATTATTTATTTTAAATGTTGGCCGTAACTGCGGCTAAGATGGTCCATTCTGAAATTCCAATTTTTGATGACGCGTTGGAGCATTTCAAGTGGTATTTGGCCAATAACTCGAGTAATGTTGGCTTCCAATTCATCAATCGTAGCGGGCTTATCCATTTAGACTTTGGACTTTACGTAGCCCCAAAAAAAGAAGTCCAGAGGTGTGATATCACATGACCTAGGCGGTCCAAAGCGGGAAATTAACTGTTCGCCAAATTGTTCCCGCAATAAAGCCATGGTTTTATGGGCTGTGTGGCAACTAGCGCCGTCTTGTTGAAACCAAATGTTGCGGGCTTCAATTTCAGGCAGCATATAGTCCCTTATCATGACGCGATACCGGGCGCCAGTCACAGTTACGTTCCGGCCGGCCTCATTTTTGAAGAAATATGGACCGATAATCCCACCAGCCGATAAACCACACCAAACCGTTGTTTTGTCTGGATGTAATGGCAGCTCTTGAACCTCTTCGGGTTGCTCTTCAGCCCATATACGGCAATTTTGCTTATTGACGTAGCCATTAAGCCAGAAATGGGCCTCATCGCTGAATAAAATTTTGGTCGAAAACAGTGGATTTTCTTCAAGCTTTTCAAGAGCCCAAAGACTGAAACGGTGACGGTTTGGAAGGTCGGCCGGTTTAAGATCTTGCACGAGTTGAATTTTGCATGCTTTTAAACCAAGATCCTTACGTAAAATACGCCAATACGTCATCACGGTCATCGCGTACACTCTCAGCTACCGCTGCTATATTTTCTTCACTACGTGCTGGATGTTGTGGTCTATTTGGTCGCTTATTATCTAATAATGAAAATTGGCTTTCAAATTTTTGGATGGTACAGCGAATTGTTCGTTCGGTAGGCCGATTATGTGGACCATAAGTTGCTCTAAGCGCACGAAATACATTTCTCGTAGAACTCTGATTTTCGTAATACAGTTGAATAATTTGTAGACGCTGTACCGTGCTAAGTCTTTCCATGATAAAATGTCAAACAATACTTAACGAAAATACCATGACAGTTTGACACAACGCACGCCTGATCTGCCATAAAATCTCTAATGAAAAAAGTACCTCTAAATGAATCACCCTTTATAATTGGACCATATTTTTTTGAAAATACGGTTAATCAGCATACGTATTTAGATATGTTACAACATTTTCTAAATGAAAGGTTGGACGATCTACCGATTAATTATCGTGCAAGGTGTTACTTTCAACAAGATGGTTGTCCTGTCCATTATGCTCGAATAGTTGTAGAATGGTTGAATCAGCAATTTGGAGAGAATTGGATCGGCCGAAATGGTCCTGTTTTATGGCCACCGAGGAGCCCTGATTTGACTATTGCAGATTTTTTACTTTGGGGCCGTTTGAAACAAATAGTTTATGCGAATGATCTTCCTCCGAATGTAGAACGTTTGAAGGAGAAAATCAGAGATGCTGTGGCGTCTTTACCGCTGTAAGAGATCAGAAACAGTTAAGTGGGATTTATAGATCTGACGTTGCCGTTGCCGTTCGTCGTTGCAGTTGCCGTTCCCGTTGGGAAGCAGCGTCGTCAAGTTTATTGCATTTATACATTGAAGTTCAACGGGAAAAGCTGGCCAATCAGAATCGCCCATTTTAAATCTGATCGTGCTTGTCAATTTTTACATAGTTCAATGAACCTATGATCCAAACATTCGTTGTGTATATTTGTTATTTGGTTTAACGTGAACCTAAAATTAATAATAATTTGCTGTTGGGTACTTTTGGTGTTTTGTTATCCTCAGCTGCAATCATCAAGTGGAGGAAAAACGTGTAAGGCGTTTTAGAATCCGGCCAATAAACCAAAACAGACGTTTAAATAGCCAATATGTTTATTTTCAAAAGATGAAAGTTCTAGATGAAGAACAATTTTTTAAATTTACAAGAATGACTGTAGCTTTGTATGACGAACTATTGGAAACAATTAAACCTAAAATTTCCAAACGACATATAAAAGATGGTATTCATCCAGAAGAACGATTAGCAATAACATTGCAGTAAGTACATTAGAATAAAATCTAAGGAGATTGTATTAAAGAGTTTATTTTAGGTATCTATCTCAAGGTCGCAGTATGCAAAGTTTAGCATGGTCATTTCAAATTGGGTTGACTACGGTACACCAAATTGTCCATGAGACTTGTTTGGTTATTTGGGAATGTTTGTCAGACAAGTATTTAAAAAGTCCTTCAACTCAACAGGAATGGAAAAATATTTCAAAAGGTTTTTCTTCCATTTGGAATTTCCCCAATTGCCTAGGAGCTCTTGATGGGAAACATATTGCAATTCAATGTCCTGCCAAATCAGGGTCACAATTTTTTAATTATAAAAAACACTTTAGTATAATCTTAATGGCAGCTTGTGATTCAAATCATCTGTTTACTCTGGTGGATATAGGTGCATATGGATCCCAAAGTGATGGAGGTGTGTTTAAAAATAGTGCAGTGTCAACTTGGAAGGGAAAAATATGAATGTACCATCTAATGACTTAATTGAAAACACTAATATTGTTTTGCCGTATTCATTTGTAGCAGATGAAGCTTCTCCATTAAAGGGTTATATTATGCGACCATATCCAGGAAAAAATTTGTCTGTTAAAAAAACGATATTTAACTACAGGCTTTCAAGAGCTCGAAGAGTGATAGAGAACGCATTTGGAATTTTAGTTGCTCGATGGCGCATTCTTAAGCAAACCATTTATGCGAAAGTCAATAATGTGGACAATATTGTGAAGGCATGTGTGGTACTTCACAACTTTTGTAAATTAAGGGGTATAGGGAAATCTTCTGCTTGCACATACTGCCCTCCTGGATATGTTGATAGCAATGATACAGATAAAGGGAATTGGAGGTTAGAAATTGATAGACCATTGCAATCAGTAGGAAGATTATCAGCAAATAATTCTTCAAAGAATGTATACATAATACGTGATAAGTTAGCTGATTATTTTATGTCTCATGGTAAAGTCCCTTGGCAAAATGAAAAAGTAGGTCTTATGTAGTAGTAGTATTAAAACAATAAATATATAAAATATATAAATGGTTTTTTATTACGTTTTAACTAGATTATTAAATAAAAGTAATAATGATTCTAATCCTCAAGAATGCAAATGATTTGCCTTCTTTTTTCTTTGGCATCCTCTGGGCTTATGTTACTAAGCAAAGAATATACATAATCTGCAAATGTACGATTTATATCCTTTGCATTAGATTGCACCTGGCCAGATATGGACTTAGCAATGTCAATTATTTCGCTGAGTTCTGAATCTTCTCTCTTACGCCTAAAATTTGAAATGTAGTTTAAACGTTGGTAATATTAGTAATAACAGTTTTTACTTAGTTCTTTTTGGGGTATCCTTTATAAGTTTTCCATCTTCATTTTCATGTGTTACTAAAAATAAATAAATCAGATCATATTAGTTATATATAATAATAAAATATTACAGAGAAAGCTCATATTATAGCTGAGCACACATTTAAATGCCATTTTTTTATATACTGTTTTTTTCAAGATATTTTTTAAAGATTTTTAGGTTAGTTTGAAACCTTGGGTTTAAATAAATGAATTAAATGCCATTTAATTCATTTTAACTCCACCCCTAAACAAAACCTTTGCTTTTTATGGGGCTCTGCTGAACAATAATAACATTGACATTTTCATTATTGTATGGCAGATATAAAGTCTTCCTATATAGCTTATGAGTTATATGCTTAAAAAATATTTTTATTTCAAAAATCTTAACTCACATTCTGGCTCTGCTGCATCATCCTCATTTACAAATTCAATAAAATATGAATTGTCACTGGTAAAATTAGAGGAAAATTGATTGTCATCTTGTGATGACTGGGTACAGGATGAGCTTGGTCTTTCAATAACAGTTGTATTGGAAAATGTTCTGCAACAAAGTAAAAGTAAACTTGACTGTAATATTTTATAATTATACACATACTTTCGTGGTTTTGAGAAGTTTTTATAAAAAGACATTTCCTTAAAATATGGCCATGTTGAATCTGTGCCACCAGAACCTGACGCCTTTCCTCGGCGTTCTCGGGTATACCGATCCCTTAAGTTCTTCCATTGCCGCTTGCAGTCATCCGCTATATTTATTAAATTAAATAAGATATACAGATTTTCATATGAAATATTCAAATGAACTTACCACATAGACCAATACGATTAGAAATTATTTTCCAAATTTGTTCTTTGTATTTGGTATTTTTATAATGTATATGTTTTAGGTCATAAAGACATTCATATTCTCCAATGTATTCAATTAGTTTTCCTAAATCAACACTATTCTTGTTATCCATAATGGTATTTTCAAAAAACAAAACAAAACAACAAATGTCATTTAATTTATATTCATGGTTATATCATATTGCGCATGCGGAAAACTAGCATTTTGTTTGGCTGCTGTTCGCGATACGAACTGCAAAGTTAAAAGTTGACCAACTCGAACGGCAACTGCAACGTCGGCGTCAAGCGAACGTCAAACTATGAATGAAATGGTAGACGGTCACATGTTTATCTTTTGAACGGCAACTGCAACGACGAACGGCAACGTCAGGTCTATAAATCCCACTTTATAGGGAACTGCGTCGTAGACTTGAGCTATGCGTTCATGAAGGTGGTGAATGGATCGAGTGAAATTTATTAGTAGTTTAATTATTTTGTTGAATTGTAATAAAAACCTAATAAATGTTCGTTTTAGACAATGAAACGACTTGATTTTTGTTGAATTTTTGCAATAAAAACTTAATAAACAATAGTCGTGTTAACTGTTGCCATGAAAACGAAAAGTAATTTTTGGGACTTAAACAAATATTCAACTAAAAGGACCTATTTTTTCATGTTTCTCTTGAACGGAACGGAAATTTGAAACGGTGGAAACTGATTCAGCCATTTTGAAACAAGCAAAAACTATTATGAAGAATACATTTTTCTCGTAAAATGAAAAATAAAGAAGTTTCTCCTCTTGGCTATGTGATCCGAATGATTTCATTAAGTGTTATTTTTAATTAATCTGAGATTCAAACGGTTCTGTAGAACCGGTTCGCTGAACCGGTTCACTTATGTGATCCAGATCCAGTGATCCGGTTCAAAAGAGTGACCCGGAACGCCCATCATACAATATTGCGTCATTACAATTTGGCAACACTGTAGGACGCAATAAAGTTTGTACAAGCCATATAAAATTTAAAATGAAATATACACGAGACGCAATATTATATCAAGATTAAAATGGGTTGATAATGTAGTGACTTTGGAAAAAAAAGTGTATATCTTATTTTATAAAATAAAAAAATCTGACCAGATTTTTGGAATCAGCAAAAAAAAGTACGCCAATATACTCTTCTATATTTTCGCTAAATACCGTTGTTTAGTAATGAGTGGACTGTATTTAGGGTAATTTTATTTTATCTGTCCATTTGCAGTTCTATAAGAAGTTTCAAAAACTTTGAGTACAAATGTATCGAGAAAAAGAAACGTGCTTAGGGAAGACTTACCAGTTTGAAGATTCTTCAGCAGTCTTATGTGGGGCCCCAACTACTGGACATCACCAGGCGAGCCAAACCAACAGACAACTGCGTCTACCCCAAGCCAAATTCACGTTTAACAGTTAACGCGGTCAAATTTTATTTGCCTTTTCACACATATTTGAGAAAAGTCTAATTATTTTTTAAATAACGTCAAAAACTATAATAATTTTGTTTACATAGTAACCAAAACAACGCGATTACGCAACATAACCGCCCGCCAAAATGCATAGCATTTTCCTAGGCAATATCCATATTGGGCAATGGACAAAGCTTTGTTAAGGGACGCTTCAATATACCTTTAGATGTGCGAACATCAACTACGCGTATTACACCGTCAGCACCAGGATATGTTCTTTCAACGCGACCTAAATTCCAACGGAGAGGTGAAGTAATTTCGTTTTTTATTAAGACTATTGAATCTATAGCAATCGGTATAGAAGGGTCTAACCATTTACCCCGTTGTTGAAGAGTATGTAAATATTCCCGATGCCATCGAGTCCAAAAATCCTGGTGCAAACGTTGTATGAGCTGCCAACGCGACAAATGATTAATTTTAAGAATCTGCAAGTCAGCTTCGGGTAAGCATGTTAGGGGCTCTAGTGTCAAAAAATGCCCGGGCGTGAGAACAGCTAAGTCATTCGGATCACTGCTAACAGAACAAAGTGGTCTTGAATTTAGCACAGCTTCTATTTGAGTTAAAAGAGTATATAACTCTTCGTATGTTAAAATTTGTTCACCAATAACTCGATGCAGATGTGTTTTTACTGATTTAACCCCTGCTTCCCATAAACCGCCAAAGTGCGGTGCCGAAGGAGGGTTGAAAACCCAATCAATGCCCTCCTTTTTAGCAGATTCTTTGAACAAATTACGAATATGAGTTGCAGCACCCACAAAATTTGTTCCACAGTCACTAAAAATCTGAGAACAACGACCTCTGCGTGCAATAAAACGACGAAAAGCAGCAAGAAAGGCTTCAGTGGACAAATCTGAAGCCAGCTCCAAGTGTAGAGCTTTAGTAGCATAACAAACGAAAATACAAATGTATGCCTTGAGAGACTTTGCACCTCGTAATCGATTAAGGGTAATTGCAAAGGGTCCAGCATAGTCAGTGCCTACAAGAGAGAATGCCTTTACTTGAGATACTCTAACAGCCGGTAAATCGCCCATGGGAGGTTGACAAGTCTTTGGATTAATCTTCCAACATTTAAAACAACGAGACAAGACTCTTCTGATCGTGCGTTTAGCAGATAATATCCAAACATTTTGGGTGAGTAAAAAATGTAATGTTTTAAAACCTGGATGAAGATGATTTTTATGAGTGGATATAATAATTAATTCGGTGTATCGCGAATTACTAGGTAATAGGGCAGGAAACTTTGAGTCATATGAGAGTTGGGAGTGGCGCAATCTACCGCCCACCCTGAGGACACCATTTTCATCCATAAAAATATTCAATTTTCTAAGTGGTTTGGGTAATAATTTCTTTTTAAAAATAAAAGAAGTTTCATGGGAAAAATAGCGATTTTGAGTTATCCTAATTAGAACTATTAGAGCCTTGTGAAGATCGGCCTGAGAAAAAGAGTTTGACGAGGGGTTTGAAGGATCGCGACAATTATGAGTAAATTTTTGAGTGAGAGCAACAATGCGCAAAATTTTATCTAACGACGAAAATTTATCAATGAGACTATCGAGTGGTTCTTGAGATATAACAGTTGATAAAGACACCCGCTGTTCTTCCAAAAAACCTTCGGGAGAGAGGCTATAATCAACAATTTGAGGATAGATCTCTTCCGGAGAGTGAAGAAATTCTGGTCCCGCCCACCATTGAACATGTTGAACCAATTCTGAAGGCAACATTCCTCGAGAGGCGCAGTCCGCTGGATTATATTTTGTAGAAACATGATACCAATTATCTGGGGTAACCTTTTCCTGAATATGGAGAACGCGATTAGCAACAAACGTTTTCCAGTTGAGTCAGTCCAAGCAAACATTCTTTCAATATTGAGGTTCTTATATGTGAGCATTACTGATTCAAGCAAATCTGATAAAAGAGGAGCTCCACAGAGTTCTAAACGAGGAATCGACAATTTCTTAAGAGGTGAAACTTTAGATTTGCCAGCGATGAGAGAAAAGTGAATAGAATCATGACAGATAGTACGTAAATAAACAACACAACCGTAGCCCTTTTCAGAAGCATCGGCATAACCGTGAATTTCGCAACGTAGGCAATTATCTAAAGTTATACGACGAGGAATTTTCAATTCAGAAAGAAGATATAATTCATTTTTATATCTAGACCATTTTTTCAGAATTTCAGCTGGAGGAACTTCGTCCCAATCTAAACCAATCGTCCAAAGATGTTGAATGAGATATTTTGCGAATAAAGTGAGCGGAGTAAGAAAACCAAGAGGATCAAAAATACGAGCTAATTCAGATAATATATTTCGTTTTGTGCAAGGTTTGTCTTGGGGTTGAACAACATAAGAGAACATGTCCTGAGCTGGAAGCCATTGCAAGCCTAAAATTTTGACTGTGGCACCACTATCCAAATTCAGAGAGAGAGCTTGGGGATGTAAATGATCTTCTGGCAGAGTTTTAAGAAAGGATGAATTATTGCTAGCCCATTTTTGGAGTTCGAAACCGGCAGTTTTTAAAAGGTTGATCAACTCTTTCTGGGTTAAAAGAGCTTCATTAAGATTGTTGCAACCTCCAATAATATCGTCCACATAAGTAGCTGTTTCTAACAGTTTTACAGCCCTAGGAAACGAGACCTATTTTCTTCTGCCAATTGTAGAAGTGTGCGAATTGCAAGAAATGGAGAAGACGAAACACCAAACGTAACTGTATTAAGAACAAAATCCTGTAAGGGTTCTGAGGGAGAAAATCTCCACAAAATGCGTTGGTAATCACGATGTTTTTCGTTTATTAAGATTTGAAGAAACATCTTCTTAATATCCGTGCAAAATTCTATAGAGTGCGTGCGAAAATCTAGCAAAATTGAAAATATATTTTGTTGGAGCTTGGGACCAGCCAATAATGTGTCATTCAACGATTTGCCTTTTATATCCTTAGCAGAAGCATCGAAGACTACACGTATTGGTGTACTAGAACTATCGGGTTTAAAAATACAATGGTGAGGAATATAATATGAGTTTAAAGAGGGAGGCGAATTAACTAAGGACATAAAGTTTAAATCCAAATATTCCTTCATGAATTTTGAGTATTCCTTATAAAGATGAGTATAACTAAGCAATCGACGTTCCAATGAAAAAAAAACGTTTTTGAGCGAGAGAGCGAGAGTCACTAAAATTGGGTTCAGAGTTTTTAAAAGGGAGTGTAACGACAAAACGACCAGATTCCTGTCGAAAAAAGGTGCTTTTAAATATTTGTTCACATTGAACATCGTCTGGTGAGGCTACGGGTTCATTAGGAATTTCCTCGATT